CCTTACTACTAGGAGCAAGAAGCTACTAGGGGCTCCTGGCCTTACTAGTAGTAACAAGAAGCTATTAGAAACAAGTGCCTTACTACTAGGAGCTAATGGTGTTTGGTTGTTAGCTGCGTGTCTGTTCAGACTCATTCCGACCCGGCCCGACGGTCGGCCCGACACCCGTCTCATCACCGAGCCACTGTTGTGGAAGGCACAGCAAGGCTTTGCGCCACCGCTTCAACGGAACCTCACGAGCCTCACCACGGGTTCATGACATTTGCAGGTTCGGACCTCTAAGAGTAGATGAGATGTATATATGTTATATCAATGGCATTGGTTTGATTCAAGGTGAAAATATCTATAATAGTCTATAGTCTATATAGTACAGTAATTCAATGGGAGTCCATGGACCAGGGAACGAAAAGTGGAGATATGACCAAGAAAGTGCCAGCGCTTTGAACATAGTGTATATGCTTGTTTCATCTAGGTGCGTCTCAGTAGTCCGTTGTGGTGAGCTTGGGATTTGTGAATTCAAGTCGAGATTCCTTTCAATAGTCGGGCCGTAACTTGGTTTCTTCGCACAAGTCGCGCAATGTTCCAATGTATGGCCATGAACATGTTGTTCTCACTGCGACCTTTCATCTAGTTTCAATGAACTTTCGCGAGCATTTGTGCTTTGTTCTTTAATACTAAGGACTAAGGATCACAAGCGATTCACCATCTGTTTGTCGGCCGGCAAATCTTCTGCCTTCCCCTTCCACCATCCATTAACAAAAAATAATCATGCATCCGTTTACACTTTCAGAATTAATCGATCTCTGTTCCTGTCAAGTCAGAGGGGGCTCAACACATAAATGGCAACACATCGTGCGCTTTGCTTTAAACTTGCCGATCATCTTCACTGACACTCATAGAAAAGTGAGAGGTTTGTCCAATCATGTAGACGGTTTGTGAATAAAACCCCCTAAAAGCGCTAAAAGAGTGGTTTTGGACGGGGTTATTAATCAACAGTCTACCTAAGGCAGACTATATTAGCTATAATGTGGGCAACACAAAGGTAGTTTGACAATGTTGAATACCGTCTAGTAGATTGACACTCAAATTGCACCCTAGATCCCACCCGCTCGGCCTAACCTCCCGTTCCCCCGTTCATGGGCGTCTTTAGCTGTTCAATCAAATGCCAAGATCATTCACTGCCCGCCTCCCACCCATCCAAGATCAAAGATCCGCCGCCCACGGGCAAGAGCCGCGAAAGACCAGCTAACAGCGTACTCTTGCCGGCCTCATCGCGGGCCGCCAACGAAGGATTATCGTCCCACCGGCTTCCACTCTCCACTTTCACTTGGTGCAAGCAGAATTCTGGTACCTGGAGTCCCAAAACAGTGAAGAATGAATATCTTGAAAGTGCCAGCACCTGTCATGATGTCTGCATGCTGTCTCTTCTTGCTCGGGTAATGGCCTGATGGTTCCCCAAAAAGGCTCCTCTTCAATACACTGATCTCCAAATCTCCTGTCAGTTCAGAAATAATTACGTTCCAGCATGTCTGTTGGCTGAGCTTTCCCTAGCCAAAACTAACCATGAAATCTTCAACGCCTTCATGTTGTCGAAAAAAAGTAATAACGGCCATCATGCGAGGATCCTCTACACACGCAGCCAAGATACTCCAGAGGAGCCCACCATCGCGAGATGCTCTCCAGCCATGACCTACGAACACCGTCGATGAAGCCATCGTTCAATTGGTCGTGGTGTGAACATCTCGATGTGTTGATTGTGTGAAATTGTCAAGCACGGGCAAACTTGTGCGAACGGTTGCATGCGGTTCCAAGCGGTTGCAGTTTGTAGTGTTCCGGGGACGCTCGCAAGCGCCGAGACCTCCGGTCTCCGGTCTCCGCTCAGCAAGCGCTGTTCCAGCGGCCTTCAAGGTGAGTGGCTGCAAGGGAAAGCTTGGCATCGAAGTGCCTGGAAAAGCAGTCGTGTGACAGTCGGTGAGCAACACAATAAAGACGGCTCGACAGGACTCAGGGCCGCTGAGAATGCATGGGACGACAAGACTATAGATTCCATAGAAGCATTGATTCAGTTACATTCAAATGCAACCAGTTGAACAATTTGGATGTAGAAGTAGTACAGTAGGGCTCTGCAAAGAAGCTGAGTACTATAAAGATACTAATGAAGTGCTTTGGCTGCTGGCAGCCCCTCGCTTTGAGACAAATCCATGGTTGCAAAACAGCAGGAGCTACTCCGGCTCTAGCTGTGGATAGCCGGATAGCCCCAACAGAATCAGGCGCAAAACCTAGAGATGGGTGTCTCAGAGATGTCTCAAAGTCTTGGATCTGGTTGGTGGAAGTTTCCTTGTACGTACGTATGATTTTGGACTGCCAATGCTGAAAGGGTTCGGACTTGGAGGTGTCTGTGCAGGATCTCTACTTGAGAAAATTGTACTACCTTTGTTGCTCTTGACACCAACCACTCCTGCATCAGCTCGAAGAAACATAAAGAGACGCTGGCCTCCAAGCTTGCTGTGTACCAAGTACGAAGGCTGGTAAGACCTAAGCAGATCTGACGCCAACCTAAGCAAATCTGACGCAATCTAGCCAAACAGCTGCCTGTGTTGGGTCTCTAAGCCAGTTCAACAGCGGTCGTTGAGTCAACCCACAGTTCACTCCCAACATCCTTTGAGAGGAAGTGCCATCAAAGCGACCATGGAGAGCTGGCAAGTGCTGAGAGTACTACAGCAGGCACCGGGCATTCTTGGTGTAGCCAGCTTAGATCAGCTTAGTATAGCTTTATGACTTCATAACAAGCTTGTAGATACAATTGAATGGAACATGATTGATTGATCGTGCTTCGATCATGAAAACATATCGGCCCTCAAGCAACCTGGCCTGGCACACCTGACGTTCCAGATTGCTTCAAGCAACCAATCACACGTCCATCAACAGCTTGAGGCGTTCGAAAACGAAAATCGCTCGTTCTCTCAACTACCTCCATATCGGAGGACATCCAGAGACTGAGCCCGTCATATGACTGAGCCCATTGCTCAGTCTCTCTTTGTTTTTGGTTTGGCAGGGTGGACCATCTTCCATCATCTGAATGAAACATCACGGAAACGAAATCCAGCTTTGGACCTGCTTCGACATCCAGCCGGTCACGCGCTGCAAACAGAAAAGACGAAGCTCTAAGGGATGGACCGAAGATCCTGAGCAATGGAAGATCTCCAGGGATTTGAACAAGTGGTGGATTTTTGTGCGACTGCTTGGGCGAGGATCGTGCGATTGCAGGGATCACTGAGGAAGGCTGATCATGTTTGATGATCCTGATGATCACCAGCAATTGACGATAAAATGCGTATCAAACATTCCTCTGTGATACTCTGTGGAAGTGTAAAGTGCAAACCTGAGTGTCTCAACTTGAGTTCATCTGCTTCTTGTGCCTGCCAATTCCTTGTCCCTGGTCTATTATGAATCTGTGTTGGTCTGTGCCCTGTGTTCATCCATTGCCCCTCCTTTCCTCTGAGATGGCGGCCAAAGATCCTTCAAAAGGCCATGCTGCTGGTGGTGAAGTCGAAGATGCCTGCCCTGCACACGAAGCACACCATTCACAGGCTTTTACATGGCTGAAAAAACATGAAATCCAAGGGAAGAGAGGATCAACATCGGTTGAACATTGGCTTTTCCAGTGCAAGTGGTGAGGTGTCTTCACATTGTCTCGAGTATTCTCGAGTCATGGGTGAATGGCTTCTTCGATACCACCCAAGCGCGGCTTTTTCCACAAGCTCTTGATGTAGCTCAATCCTGGAGAGATCTTTAGACTGCTTTCACTTGTGGGGAAATGTGGGGAATGATGTTGTCGATGTTTCTCGTTTGAGCCACCAACCCGTGGGGAGAGTGCTGCGCTGCGGATGTCTTTTCAAAGGCATTGGCGAGGCATGTCAGTTGCATGCGCCTTTTTGATGCACCAATTGCACTCTTCGAAACAGTGAGGACTCTGGAGTCAGCACCCACCAGGTGCTATAGAAATAAAGACTGGCCCCTTGCTTTGAAGACCGTGTTGCGAAGAGGGTATGCTGGGTATCCCTTGCTTTGAAGAGACATCTTAGAGCTGACCCATGTGCTGTTCACATGGCATGATGTGACACAGAAGGTCTCGGATCATGATCAGGAAGGTCAATGATGTCGCACAAGCGATCGTAAGCAGCGTGGACATCAAATACACTCGACTCATCGGCTGCTGTAGAACTCCTGCGTGTGCTGGGAGCCAAGCAACTAGAGTGTTGTGTGCAATGCAGCACCCCTTCCACGTGCAATATCCCTTCGTCACAAAAGCACTGGTCACTGAAGAGAGATCTGAACAGGGATCCCAGCTCGCTATTAGCAGCAAGGACGCTACTAGTAAACAAAGGGCATCGCTACGAACGGAGCAAAGGGGTCTTTGAGCCCTGCAAACCACCCAGGCCCACCCCGGTCACACGCCCCGAGAGCAAAGAAAAAGCTACCGGGAGCACATGGACTTCAACATTCACAGTGCCAATGGCAAACGGACTTGTGGAAGAGCACACACATTTTCTATGTATATATATATATATAATAATATGTCTCTATGCGACCTCTCCGTGTCAAATCTATCTTTTTACAAAGTAACTCTTTCCTTCAAGGATTAACTAAACCTCATATGCGTTTAGCTTGGTCCAACTTGTGTCAGCAATACCAACCGCATTTTTTGTTTTTTTAGAAAAAACACTTCTGCCGAAACTTAGGTCCAACAAAATCGTTTGAAATAGTTTGGTCCATCTGTCTCCCGAACAAATGCAAAGCAAGTAGCCTGGAAGGCATCCGGCTGCACAGTATATCAGCAGCAGCACGGCAGTAGAGCTCCTGCAAACCAGCGACATGAAACCCCACAGGTGATACAGCTCAAGAGAATGGTCGCCTGGGGAAAACCCCTCCATGTTGGGGCAGCCCAGATCCTTCCAAGCGAATGTGATCATCTCATTCGCAGGATCCTAACCGGAAGATCTTGCTATAATTCTTCAGCTGACAAGCATGGGAGATAAATCAAAGGGTTTACTCTCCAAAGAAAGGTGAATATCTGGCGAACTTGGCCGGATTGCTCCAAAGAATAATTACTCATCTCTCAAACGACTAGTACCTTTACAGACCTTTCTGAACCCAAACAATCTTGAAGAGTTGCTGTGCTGTGCGCCCACCTCTCAGTCGAGGATGTCGACCTCGAGTCGGACGAGACATCACCAGTTGATCCCATGACTGAATACATCCCAGAAGTCATGACCAGGAGTTGGGAGGAAGACATGGTCTTACCAGTACCACTTAGGTCTTACCATCCAACAAATCCAGAAGACTTTGATAACTGCTTGGTGATGGGACTGATGGGACTACAGGAAACGCTCCAATTTCCTGTGGGACTGCACTTTCCTGTCGAGCTGCGACTTCGTGGTGAACTTCTCGATGAACTTGATCAAGAGTCCGGTGAGGAAAAAGACCTTAAATGGGTCAGACACAAACGTCACGTTCACCATCCGATCGGCAAGAGTTCAATGGCACGGTCACTCTTCCACGACAGTTGACGTTTGAATGAACCACTTCTTCGGATGTGTGCCAGCAGGAACCTTTAAAAAGAACCATGGGTGCCTAAAGTGAGATTCTGACAAAATGAGTATTTATATAGTCTCTGGCTATACCCAGGATGTATTCGACTCTGAGATGCAACAACCTATATAAGAAATGAAGTCCACATGAAGCATATACAATTCTTGAGCAGGAACATGCACCTTAGGGCTAAACCAGTGAGATACGGTCGGTTGCATGTGGTCTTTTGCATGCTTGCACTGGGAAACATGTTCTGCATCGCAGGATAGGCCAGCCTGTCCTTTGGCGAACAGTCTGGAATGTTTGCACTGTTGATGGAAGGCACCTATCTTCAACCCAAAAACAATGTGGAATGTTTTAATGAAAGAATCCAACCACTCCCACTAGTGTCGATGAAGGATCCCCCTGGTGATCATAAGTCGGGTAAGTATGTGTTGCAATATTCGGAGAAACTCCGACCAACCCCAACCTATCGGTTTACAGTGGTTTCAGAGTAGATGGCGCAACCCGCCCCTACATGTCTTTTAGATGGGGGCCCATATAAACGACCAAGCTGCCGGATTGTGTCATCTGATGAAGCGTTTAAGCCGATATATCATTCTTTTCACGTCGATCTGGGGGTCTTCCTATCTAAAACACATGCAACGGAGTGCGGCCAGGAGCTAGCCAGCCAGCAAGGGTGGTCAACATACTGCTGGCAATCGTTGCGTAGACTGCCTGCCAACATTTCATCGGACAAGCGTTGGAAAGGGACCGAACAAATGGAAACGATTGGTGGGAGGTTCATTTATAGAAGCCAAGTCATGTATCATTTGCTAGACTTAACACCTCAGAATCTCTTCCAGCGGCAGGAGCAGAGACAGCTTCCCATACTGTAGGTGATCCCCGTGCTGAAAATGCTAGGGTCATGATGACCCATGTTGATGACAGCAACCATGGTCACTACCCTGTGAACTATCCAGCTGATCCGCCTTTCCCCTGGGTTCAAGAAACTTCGAACAGGAGCAGCCTGAAAATACATATATATATATACATATCTAACATGTATAACTATGCAATATATATATATAACATTAAATGACAAGTTATGGACAATATAATATGGTATATGTAGATATATGTAGATGTATTGCAATATGTATATGGCAAAATGGTTTATATGTACATGACATATCAGAATTGTAATCATTAAACGCTATAGCTGCTGTAAAATACATCATATCGTCATAGTATATGTTACTATATACTATAATATATACTAATATATACCTATAATTAAACATACTAAATAAATATGCTTTCCCCAGTAACTATGTTCTGCGCATGTCTGCATCATCTTCCATCTTTTCCCTGTTCGTACAGCTTCTCTATAAGATCCTAACCTTTTGGGCGGGCAAAAAGACGTGAGGCCTGGCCTCCATTCCAAAGCGAACAAACCCGACGAGACAAGCGAAGCCAACCAGGGTTGCACCCACCGCCAAGCTGTGGACCTCACCGGGCCGGGGTTTAGGTGTTCATGAGTTGTATGAAACTGGAATGGCCCTTTGCTACTAATAGCTTCTTGTTCCTAGTAGTAAGGCCAGGAGCTACTAGTAGCGTCCTTGCTCCTAGTAGAAAAACAATTTGCTACGAGTAGCGTCCTTGTTCCTAGTAGCAATGGCCTCCAACCTACTTGCGATGGCCTCCAACTACTAGCGTCCTTGCTACTAGCAAAATTGTTGATTCGATCTGGAGATTGGATTCCACAAACAAGAATTGGCATCCACAACAATCCACAAGAATCCGTTGCTAGGTCTCGCTCGATTTATCAAAACAGAAGGTTAGTTGTACATATAAATCCTATGGAGTTCTCTGTATGAAGCCGTCTAATGGTGCCCAGCAAGGGAGAACACAGGAAGAACCGTTCCTCCAGGGTTCATCCGGGTGCTGCATCAAGGTGTATCTTCTGAAGCAAATCTGACTTGACTGATCAGAGCTGCCTACTCTCCAAGGATGTGTCTTCCTTCTCCAACTGTTGAAATCTAAGCTTCAACACGGGTCCCACCCACAAAAATGAGTTTGTCCAAACAAATCATCACCCAAAGAAATTTTCCCCACAAAATTACCGCTGGACCTCTGGCGACTTTGTGCCGCCAGTATTTCCAAGTGCTGCCGAGTGTCCAAGGTCTCATTTTTCATGACGTCCTTGCAAAAAAAACCATCCGAATCAGTATCGCCACCCCGAGTCCCACCTGCTTTTCAAGGGTGTCCGCGACGTCAGACACTTGGCTTTGGAAACGAAGGAGCAAAGCAACGTCAGACACCACATGTCTACGGTATGAAAGGAGTTCATTTTTGGGGCCACTTCCGAAAACCACGCGCAAAGCGGATCAGAAGGGATGTGTGGGAAGTGGCCCAAGTGAACAAGGGATCACACATTTAGTCATAGGGTTTTCCGTTAACTCTGTTCCACGCGAAAAGGGACGAGGGAACGGAATGGCGATGAGGTCAGCTCACTTGAACGGTTAACAACATTTGCTTGCGCGTGTCTGCAGAAAGCGTCAGGGGAAAGCGGCTGAAGGAAACTGGTTTTAGGAGATATCATGCAAAACCACCATGAAACAAACCGAGAGTGGAACAGCGTGATCAAAAGTTGGTCGCAGGTACACACAGTTGATCAGACTGTGCATCCACCGAACAAGCATAGCTTTGTTAGCCAGCGTTTGCTTGTCGGCCGCTGGCCCCCGGCACATGATAATGAGGATCATGGTAACCAAAACTCCTAGAGACGGAGGGTGACACACACACACACAACATCTTCACTTGAAACCAAAGTGGATCAAAAACCCTTCCCACACACTTGACATCACTCGATGAGAGTCGCCTGACTGAGCTCGATCGCCTCTCGTAGGTGTCTCGACTCTGTCATCTGTTGCAGGAGGCTTTTTCTCTCCTGGAAATCACAAGGGCATTTGTTTCAAGAAGATTCATCGAAATAGATTAGATGACATTAGATGGAATCTGAATTGAAACATGGAACATCTTGAAGCTCTTCATGTAGGGACAAACCGAGTTTTTCTGCTACTATGTGACTAGCCTTCACGGGCGCTTGGTTTTTCGACACACCATGACAGTCAGATACAGTCAGCCACACTCTCTGAGAACCCACACGGGGTGCCCATCGGAGCCTGCCGGACTCGCCTGGCAGAACCCGATCCGACTGGACGGATTGCACTGGATGTTGACCATGGCTCTTCTGAGCCCTCATAGTGAGCTACATCATACCCAGAAAATCTCAAAGACACGTTTAGGAGCTTCACTACCCTGGAGTGAAGGCCAAGAACTTCGAGGGAGCTAGTATCCGGAGCCAGGAGCTGCGAAGCTGCCGTGTTCACCATAACTGTTCTTCCCATGGATGGAAAGATGGATGCATCACACCTCTGCTATGAGTGCGCAATTGAGCGCAAAGGGCATGCTGGTGGATCTGGGTAACACTCCTTCCGACATGAGATGTCTTAAATGAGACTGTTGAGTATTGCAATAGAATTTGTAACTTGTACATGCGCATGTCACCCACATTACCTTCTTGTGTATTACATGCATGTTTGCCCACTAAGGCCTCCTAAAAAGATTGCATATATCATGTATTTTTATATATATACACAGTAAGTTTGTTGCATCAAGGAAACTGCGTGCCATGCACTTAATCTTAAAGGAAAACACTGAGCACTCTGCATCGTTGATTCTCACAGCGTTTTCGCTCTAACCGCTTGGACGGCAATCTATTGGAAAGTTGCAAAATGTCAAACAAGTCGACTGAAATAACTCTTTCCGAAGGGTTCTGGAAAGTTTCTCACAGTTGACCTTAAGAATTACCTGGTCAATCTCACAAAAGCCGCCTGACTCCCCCCACACAGAAAAAAACAGAACGCGCAAAAAAATCTGCTGCATGATTGAGATAGCCCAAAAGCTGTGTATTGTGCTGATTAATGAAATCGGAGGTCCTTTCAAGAAAAGCCCCCCCATCTGACCTCCGTGCTTCTCACTTCCTCTCGACCAGGCATCGTCATCGTCTCTGTGTCCATTGCACCAGGCGCAACAGGCGCCACGCCCGGGCGCCAGGCGCCCGCGGGCGCCCGCAGTGCGGGGGATGTCACGGTTTCAGAGCCTAAAGGCTACGGGAAAAATTATGGATATGTTAGAGATGCTTAGAGTATAATATATATAGTTATATATTGTAATATTAAATCGTATTAAAAGTATAAATAAGTCGCTTCTAGATATGCTCAAATAGCCTTGAAAAAACTCCCAGCAGTCCAGGTGGACCAGATTCTTGACCCAGCGAACACCATGAACCGATCGGCCGGTCACCGGTCTGGACCCAGCATCGGACCCGACCGCCTTGCTTGCCGGCCACTTGCACCTGCCGATGGGCATCGAGAGCCCGTCTGCGGGCATGTGCCGTTGGATTCTGGGTGAACTGGGTGAATTGAGTGCCTTTCGGAGTTGTCCACCTCAATGCAAGTCTCTCACAGTAAGCGCGGTGATTTCGGATGTTCAGAAAAAACTCTTTCCGAATATCTTCATAAGTCATGGATCCTCCGCTGAGTGCACACCAACTCTTCATTTCATTCAAAATGGCAAAGGCTCAAAGAAGTGCTGCAAGATGCGTCCCGTGCTGCCAGATGCGAAGCGTCAAGCACCCAGTCGGGTTCCAACTTGGAGCCACACATCCCTCCTGTTTGGTACATGCAATTTACCCTCCCCCGCTGCCACTTCCCTGAGTTGAAAGTTAATTCTTTGGAGCTACATCCCCTTGGCCCCTGCCAGGCCTCTTGATGCACTTCCTGGTAGCTGAGAGGTCTGTTTGAAGGAGCCGGCCACTTGATTCGATCACGTGCGATGATCTGGGGACACAACATCTCGGAGTAAATCTCAAACCAAGACCTTTCATTGTGTCGTGGATGTCACTTAGATTTCTGAAAAAATACCGGCAAAGCGCAAGCAAATGGTTGTGAATCAGTTTACCCTGATCCCTAGTCAACACCAGGCTTAGACATGAAAAGAATGGTCTTGGCCTGCGGGGCACTGCTGGAGCTCTGAGTCTTCAGTCTTGAGCCAACCAGTGGACTACACCCTTGCTCCAAAATCACCTCACTCATGCTTGACCCAATGACCCAATTCTGAACAAAAACAAAACAACATCTCATGGCCTTTGGGATCCTTTGGGCCTTTGAAGGCTTTGCGACCTCCATCAAACGTATGATCTGTCCACCCGCACCCTCCATCGCCCCCCATTCACGCTCGACCTGCCTCCTCGGGGCGCAGGGCGCTCAAGGCCAAGAGCCGCTCCACGGAGGCGAACTGCGCCAGCGCGCGGGTGCCGTAGTTCACCAAGTACTTGGCCTCGGCCGGCAGGGGGACGGTGCAACGAAGTCCCGCGCGCGATGGAACGGATGCGAAAGAGCGAACGGATGGAACGGATGTACCAAGATCTAAAGCCGAAATATACAATCCTGCGGGTAAGCAGGATCTTGAAGTTTGACGCTGGGCGGCCTTGTTCTCGGAGCAACGCAGAATCACCAACATGTCCGAGATCAGCGGTGAGCATGTGTGAGATCTGAAATAACGTCCTTTGTGGGTCAATTTGTTTGGCTTCAGCGAACACCAACTGAAAATGACGAGGCTTCAGGATAGGTTACCGGGCAAGATTCTACCTCATCCGCCATGTTCGGGGTTGGGTTCGGTTGGGTCCGCCACAAGAAATGCTGGGGTGTCCAGTTGCGCAAGTCTATCTGCTGGCTGGCCGAAGGCGGCCACGCAACATGGACATTAATGGCCTGCAGATCTGTTGATCTGGAACTGCAAACAACATCAAGAATCAGGTTACTCAGACCTACATCTCACAAAGGAAACCATGCTATCTCCCTTCAAAAAGTATACTCGTGGTCGGATGATGTTATGGATAAAGAAACTTAGATGTTAAGGCCCTCTTGATCAATCTCCCTCTCAATGAGCCTCGTGCTCCCGCACTCCCACGGCTGATGTGCTAAGCTCTGGACCAACGCAGTCAGCGTTAAGGCCTCGCTGCCAAGGGAAGCGAGGAAAATAAATCATACGGTCGCCGGTTTAGGTAGACTCTGACTTCCCTGCACAACTTTAGAACAGGTCGCTCAAGCCCAACGCAGCTGTTCTACGACATTCTGCAAGGCATTACATGCCTAGCTTTCGTCCCCCAACGCACTTGTTGTTGCATGTTGGTCTTGTTGGTCGGTTTCTTTATTCAATGATCCTGAGAATGAACAGGAACTCAACGCTGCGGGGGACACAGCAGGAAATGAAAGGCGTGCCAAATGGTCCATCTTTCAACTTGCAATTGGCTGGAACATGACTTCTCATGAGACTTCAAGAGAACATTCTCCATGTCCCAACTCCTGCAAAAACCAAACAAAAGAGCAATCCAGCAATAATTTGGAGAGAAGGATCGAGGGGGAGGATTCTTGAATCAGGTTAAGGACCAGACAGCGTTAAGTATATAAGGGATGCGTTTGGACTCGGGACGTCTAATTCCCAAAACTAGGAGCCAAATAGCTCAAGTCGCTGAAAGACTTGTCCTGTGTCACTGCTCCCGTTGGCACGATACGCAACACTGAGCAGCGGACGTAGGTCAAGGATAGCCCAGACATGCCCAAATGAGCATTGGTCCGCCACACACTGGCCACAGCCACACAAAGGAGCATGACTCCTCCAATGATCTCCTGGCCAGCTCCCCAAAAGAAAGCACTAGTGATCAGTAAAATCCGCTTGTTCCATGCTAGTCTCGAATCTAGAAACCTAGAACTTGGTGAAGAGATGAAATTTGAGTTACAGCTCAGACTCAAAACTTGTCCTCTTTCTGCTGATCTGAACTTTGAATCAAGAAGACCCAAAACATCAACATGAAGAGCTCTGAAGAATAAGCCATTCAGCGCGAGTGTCCAATTGCAAGGCAAACCATCGTTGAAGTGCCTCGGGCGGAGAGAAAAAGGACATCGCCAACTGTCGCCAACTGGCTGAATTCCTCCATGAACCCTAAGTCTATTGGGAGACTCCTTGGTTTCAATTATTCAATGTCTACTCCGACATGGCCGCTTCCCTCACATGCGGCCAATCGGCTTCTTCGGCCGATCAGCTGTGCATGGACTTGGTGAGATCTCCGAGTATTGCGCCTAGTAGCGTCCTTCCTCCTAGTAGTAAGGCCAGGAGCCCCTAGTAGCGTCCTTGCTCCTAGTAGTAAGGCAGTATTGTTCAATGAAATATATGAAATGAGAAGCGCAAAAGTAACGGTGGTTTTTCACCCTGGATTTATGAATCTCCCCACTCTCGGGTGATCTCATACATCTGACTCACCAACATGGAAGTGAATGGCTTGGCGCCTTTTTTCAGGCGCTACCACCACGGGGGGAGGGGGGTCTTCTGAACATCCACGTTCGATGCTCCGCCACGTGCCGTCTCCTCTACGTGCCCAAAAGTGGGATCCCATCTGCCAATCGGCCCGCCAGTCTGCCAATCCAGGTGCCACGTTCAAGATCTGCGCCCGTGCATTCACCTCCAAGACGGCCAAGGCATGGTCCATGGCTTTGCCGCTTTGGCCAAAGGTTCGCAGGTATTCACGGCCTCGAGAACCGAGCGATTCAGAGTCCAGCTCCAAATGCCAGGATCTCTAAGACAAAGACCTTGTCACCTTCAGTTCAGAAAAGTCCTCGCAATTGGGGTGTTGGCGACAAACACCTGATCTTCAGGTGTGTTCTGCGCATTGCCATGGGTGTGTGGCAGCTACTTATTTGGCAGGGTATAATATGCAGCTACTCCTTGGCCATTCCATGATGGAAACGTTTTTGCGCAAGGCTATCAAGGCTCCTGAAACCTTTCCGCGTCAAACACCATTGCACAAATGATTAGACAGAACTCGGTGGGTATGTCAAAATGTTCATGTCGGGCCTGGAGGAACATTTGATGTTCCTCTCTCCTATTACATCTCCACAAACCTATCAGGCCGTGCAGAAGGAGGGGTTTTCGGCAGCAGCTGCAGTCCAGGGCTCTGCAGTCCGATCTGAGGTCCCCGCCTTCTAAGCATTCCATCAAATGAGCCACCACCGGACCGTTGAAGACGGAGACCAGCCGCGCAGCATCCGCGGCCACTGGGCTGTAGGCTGAAGAGACACGCCACATCACCAGCGCCAAGGTCACGGCCTGGTGCTGTGGTCTAACATGCACCCAGTAATCTGAAAAAAATCAGTTCGTCAAAAAAGAAGAGGAGGGTTACTAGATGGCGAGAACAATGTGACCTTCCATGACAGCCTTGGTCAAACTTACCCGCAATTTGCACCGTTCAATCCTCTCGTCACCCATCTTTTCTCTGAGTTGAAACATTGGAGCCCGTCAACAAAAAAGCAAATACTGACATGTTGTCTAAAATCACAGGGAAACCCCTCCTCCCGCGCCCCGGGAATAGCTTCGAGTGGCCAATGGAGCCATGGCAGGTGAAGAAACCACAATGGCCGTGATGGCAGAGACCAACGCCGCCACGCAGGCCAGAGCCTCCGAGAAATGCCGTGTTTCACGCGATGAGACCTCCACGACCCCAGCAAGTCTCCAGAAAACCGAGTGAAATAGCAAAAACACGTGCTCTGCCATAGCGAAGCCACACCCTGGCAATCCCTGGAATCCTATAAGAGTCTTTGGCCACTTTGGCCAAAATCTCTGCAATGCACCATCATGCAACCACAACCTTGTGCGCCCTTCAGTCGAAGAATGTCTAATGTGGCGCAGCCTGTGACAACAGTGCAGGTAGGCGAGTGTCAAGGCAGTCCAAGTCCTGGACAAAAAAGAGCAGTATCTGTGGAAATTTCGGAGCAGTGATTTAGCCAATCACCAAAGTTTGTCCGTATTCCTGTTATAGATCGTTCTGTTGCAGCTTGTCAAACGCAATGATCGCACCAAGAATCCGAGTTACCATGGAATTTATCTTTCTTTTGGCCCGTTTAACTTCAGTCTCTACCCACCTTGGCAAAGCGCGAGAGCAACTGGCCCGGCACTGCTGCCACCGCCACATCCTCAAGTCATTTTGCAGCTCCCCCATGTGACTTGTGTGAGTCGGACGCTACTAGGGGCTCCTGGCCTTACTACTAGGAGCAAGGACGCTACTAGGAGCAAAGTGCATCGCTACTAGGAGCAAAGGGCATCGCTACTAGGAGCAAGGACGCTACTAGGAGCAAAGGGCATTACTAGGAGCAAGGACGCTGCTAGTAGGAGAAAAGGGCATCGCTACTAGGAGCAAGGACGCTACTAGTAGGAGCAAAGGGCATCCCTACTAGGAGCAAGGACGCTACTAGGAGCAAAGTGCATCGCTACTAGGAGCAAGGACGCTACTAGGAGCAAAGGGCATCGCTACTAGGAGCAA